TCCATGCGTTGCCGTTGTAGATATTCCTGCAGTGAAGGCCGTGGTCCCTGTGTTGCCGTTGTAGATATTCCTGCAGTGAAGGCCGTTGTCCATGCGTTGCCGTTGTAGATATTCCTGCAGTGAAGGCCGTTGTCCATGCGTTGCTGTTGTAGATATTCCTGCAGTGAAGGCCGTTGTCCCTGCGTTGCTGTTGTAGATATTCCTGCAGTGAAGGCCGTTGTCCATGCGTTGCTGTTGTAAGTATTCCTGCAGTGAAGGCCGTTGTCCCTGCGTTGCTGTTGTAGATATTCCTGCAGTGAAGGCCGTTGTCCATGCATTGCTGCTGTAGATATTTCTGCATTGAAGGGTGTTTTCCATGTGTTGCTGTTGTAATTATTCCTGCAATGAAGGCTGTTTTCCTTGAGGTTCTTTTTGACTAATTTCCTGGGTCTCATTATCCTGGAAGATGAAATCGCTGGCTCAAGGGCTGTAAAGATGTTCCCTGTTGCCAAATGGCCAGTGTGGGCGGTGCCTGCCAGAGCCCAGGAGCACCCCAGGCCCCCGCCCCATCTGCCCACAGCCCTGCCCACAGGGATGGCTCCAGGGCCTGTGTTGGCCACACCTGTGGGGATGTGGGGCCAACATCGGAGCATGCCAAGACATGTTTCGTGGCAGCACCTTCCACGTGTCCAGGGTCTCCTGGGTGCTCAGGGGCACAAGCAGGCCCATGCTCAGGACCAACGCATCACATGCCAGGCCCCTGTTCACTTTTCCCAGTTGGTAGGCACTGCTATTCCGAGGCTCCAGAGCAGGAAACAGGGAGGCAGAGGCCAAGCTGTTCCTGAGGCCACCCAGCTGGGGTGAGTGGCAGAGCTGGGACTGGACCCAGGCAGTTAGGCTATCAGCGCCGCCTTGGTAGGCGTGAGGCTGAGAGTGCTCGGGAGGCTGAGAACCGTGCACCTGGGACCCTGCCCTGCTGGCCTGGCACCTCTGAGCTTGGTGCCCCACGCTCACCAGGGGGGCCGGAGCAGAGCTGGGCTGGAGCCCAGTCCCACTGTTTTCTCTCTCCCGACACTGAGGGGCGTTTTGTTGTGACTCTTTCCTCTGAAACAGTGTGGACAGGACTCGTTCTCTTTGGCATCCCTCTGTCAGAGGCTAGAGGTTGTGTTTTCCTGCAGTCTGTAGTAAAATCAGTTTCCTTCTGTGAGGAAAACCCACCTGCTCTGATGTCCCTGCCTGGCAACCCTGACCCTAGAGCCCTACGCCAGCATCTTAACCACACCCTCGGGAGAAGACCAAATCACAGAAATGGAAAGTTACTCCAGACGAAACAGATTATGTAAGGATCCGAAGAGAACATTTCAGACAAAAACAACACCATGAAGGAACTTGAGGGGATAACAGCATTTACAGACTGAAAACAGAGGCACAGCTGGGGGCCAGAAACCCTTGAAAATTACAGAGGTAATTCCTGGAGTTGAAAGAAAATTAAATGAAGGGTTAGAAAATAAAATTGAGGAAATCTCTCAGAGAACAGATGAAAAGGGACAGAGAGAGAAAATGTGAGAGAAAAGCCACATACAGGATGAGTACAGGAGGCCGAACGTGACCCACAGGCTGAGCGCCCCTTACCCAAGATGCTTGAGACCAGAGTGTGGATTTCAGATTCGGGGGGGTTGGAATGTTCCGGGGGTTTGGAACGTTCCAGAGGATTTGGAATATTCTGGGAGATTTGGAATTTTTCAGGGGATTTGGAATATTCTGGAGGATTTGGAATATTCACATTTTGCCCCCAGCTCAGCATCCCTACTTCAAAATCTGAAATGCTCCAATGAACGTCATGTCAGTGCTCAAAAAACGTCAGGTTTTGGAGCATTTGGGATTTAGGATTTTCAGATGCAAGATGCTCTGCCTGTATTGGATTCCAGACAGAACAAAGGAGGAGGGAACTGAAGGAAGCGGGACCCAGCAGAGTTTCCCGAGTGAAGGACAAGGGTGCCGGCTCCTGGTTGGCCCCTAGACCCACCCCGGGATGAAGGACAAGGGTGCCGGCTCCTGGTTGGCCCCTAGACCCACCCCAGGATGGCCAGCAAGAATTCGGAGAGCTCCCATCCATTACGGGATGTCATGGGATACATCAGATCTCTGCTGGCAAAGAGAAGACCCTGAGAGGCTGGAAAGGAAGCCGCCTACAGCGGAGCAGGAAATAGACCTGCCCCAACCTTCCCAGCAGCTGCCACCCTGAGCAAGAAAATAGAACATTCCAAGTGGAGGTAATTGTCAGCCTCTAATTTGAGCTCACCCAAGCTATCAGCCACATGTCAGCTCAAAATAAAGCCATTTTTAGACAAAAGGGGCCCAGTGAGTATACTTCCCATCCACCATTTTTAGAAAGTTTCTTGAGGTTAGGATCCAGAAAAACAAGGAAGTAAACTGCCCCCCCCAAAAAAAGACAGAGAGAGAGAGAGATGTGGGATGCTAGAAATAACAGGTTCAACCCAGGGAAGTAGTCAGGAGCCATCCCTAGATGGACGCTGCGCAGAGAGAGCCCCTGGCCTGCACTCAGCTCTCTCAGCTCAGGAGGACCCCGGGGAAACTGGCTCCCTAATATGACAGGTGGGGCCCTGTCCAGCGGGGCAGAACAGTTAGAGACTCCGGGAAACCAAGTCATTACAGCCGAAATCTCCGGTGAGAAACATGGTGTTCATTGATGTTTCACTTTGAGGATTAACTTGTTGACAAAGAAGCATTTTGACAAAAGGAAAGGATGGATTTTGGCAATACAAAAGTGAAGGAAAGCACAGGTGACCTACGTTAGTGGGCCAGGAAGGATGAGCTGAGGAGTGTGGGTGCCGTGGCCCTCACCCAGGAAGGTGAGTCACCAGGGCCACGTGGGGACCAGAAGATGAGAGGCTGGCATGACCCTGTAGGTGCTGAGGTGATAGGTGGGGATTGAGTGTCCTGCGGTCACTGTCCCCACGAGTCCTTTGGAAGGGGCTGCAGGGGTCTGAGCTGAACTGCATTCATCCCCGTGGGCAGCCTGTAGGTTTTGTTTAAAATGGGGGCACAGGGAAGCCAAGGTGGAAGCCTGGCGTTTAGAGGGGCGCAGAGACCTGGGGCAGACAGAGGGCACACCTGGAATCTGCTCCTTTTCAGGAGCAGGGCTGCAAGCAGGCAGGGGTGGTCTTGTCTTACCCACAGGCAGGCACCACTCGATCATTCAAAAATGACTTCTGGCTAGCACGGTGGCTCACACCTGTAATCCCAGCACTTTGGGAGGCTGAGGCAGGAGGATCGCTTGAAGCCAGGAGTTTGAGACCAGCCTGGGCAGCATGGCGAAACCCCATCTCTACAACAAAAATACAAAAATTATCCAGGTGTGGTGGCGTGCGCCTGTAGCCCCAGCCACTTGGGGGACTGAGGTGGGAGGATGGCTTGAGCCCAGGAGGTTGAGGCTGCAGCAAGCCGTGATGGTGTCACACAGAGGAGGATGTGGGAGCTGGGTGCCCTGGCCGTGCCACTGCTGTGTAAATGGACTTAAAAATCCACTCTTCTGTTAAATGAGCTACAACTTTACATTTTTACATATGGTAACGAAAGGGAAAGGCCATATGAGACGGGAAAAATGATTTCCACGCTAGGACTCTTGTGGAAAAGTCCCTGTGGACCATCACTGTCCTCTAGTGGCCCTTGCTGTCACTGCGCTCAGGAGACAGAGGCCCCGGGAGTGCTGCTCAGTAGGAGATGATGGGTCCCCTTGCTGGTCACTGTCAGAGCCACGGGCCCTTCCTCAATCCAGTAGGATGCATGCACACATCCAGCAGACGACCAGCCTTTGTAAGAGGTCCTTTAGAAAGTTTACACATATTTCAGTTCTTCATTCTAATTTCTCTCCATTTTGAAAATCGCATAGAAACTCTAGCACGGAATGTGTCACAGAGTAGCTTTTATGGCAGCATTTTACACTGATAGCAAAATGGCTTTCAGTTCTTGGTGAAAGTGGAGCAGTTAGTAATGAGTTCGTATTCTCAGCTGTGAATGTGCAGTACCAAGTCCGTTTCACATTTGTGCTGTTAATGTAAAGGAATATGTATTAATGAGAAGTTTCATGTCGATTCTTAAAACAGACACAAATGGGTTAAGAACAGTAGTCCGAGAGTGTCATTTGGACCTTACAACTTTGCTCAACATTTTTATTTCATGTAATCACCAATATTGATTTTATATATATTTCTATGTTATATATTTATTGTGTATACTCTGTTCAATGTTATTAATAATACATATTTAAAAGTCACCTAGTTCTGGCCTTGAAAGTGTCATGGGTATCACACGCTTGTGCCGTGAAAACGAAAAGCCACAAGACTTGAAAATATACATGAGACAGTGGTTTTAGCCATTGAGCAACAGGCGGTACGGGGCAGCGACTCCTGCGAGAAGGGAACACTGGAAGCAGGCTCTGCGCTCTGCCTGAGGGAGCTTCTGACGCTGCAGCCCTGGGGAGTGCGTCCCAGATGGAGAGTCGTGGGGAGAAACGGGTCAGGGCTTGGGTCTGCAGCAGCTGAGGTGTCCAGGACGTGACGCGGGAAGGTGGGATAGGGCCTTGTTCTGTGGAGCTGCCTGTGAGTCTGGCCTGCCCGCTGGTAAACTCTGTGTGCACGGACTAGATTCTAGGCCTGGCAGAAAGCAGGAATGAAGGGTTCTGTAAGCTGTCAAGAGGCCAGAGGCAATACTGTGCTGAGAGAAGTTGGAGTTCTGACCAACACACATGGGGGAGACCTCACTGAACTCCCAGGCACTCGGAAACGCATGCCTTAGGAATGGGGCGGGCACAGGCTTGCCCCAGCAAAGCCTAAGCCACATCTCAGTAGGATAAAGCTGAGCCACCAGTCATTAACTGCCTGTCAGAACAAAACCCAACACTCTTTAAAGGAAGTCGACACAACCACACTTTGAACAGTATATCCCTCACAGTGTCTGGCATAAAGTAAGAAATTACCAGATGTGTGCACAAGCAAGAAAATGTGGCTGAGAACCAGGACGAGGAAGAGCAGAATAGAACAGTGGGCAGACCCCGCTGTGATACATGTTGAACCGGCAGACAAGGGGCTGAAAACAGCTGTGTCGGTACAGTCATGGATTTTCAATGGACATAACTGTGTACAGGGGGGAATTTAAATAAAGAATGGAACCTTAATAAAATAGCTGAGTGGAATTCCTAGAAATGAAAAATAAAGGGTCTGAAATGGAAACGCCACCGGAAGAGCTTAACATCAGGCTGGACACTGAAGAAGAATGATCAGTAACTTTGAATCCAGGCCAGCAGAGGGTGAAAATCAGGGAGAGAAGCTGAGAAACTAAATGAGCAGAGCTTTCACTCTGTGACCTGCGGGGCCAGAGCAGGGGGTCTGCCCTGAGTGTAACTGGAGTCTCAGGAGGACAGGGGCGGGACTGGGAGGCCAAAACGCATGCACCTGAAAACACAGTGGCTGAAACGTTCACAAGTTGAATTAAAAATATCAGCCTGGAGAGCCAAGGCTGTCAAGGAACCCCAAACGGGATAAACACAAAGAAAACCACACCTGGCCCCATCGTAGGGAATCGTAGTCACATTGCTGAGGACCAAAGACCAGGAAAAAATCCTGGAAAGAACTGGAGCGGGGACGGAGGTGCTGCGTATGGAAAAACCGGGGCAAGAATTGCTGCTGGATTCGCATCATAAACTGTCAATCAGAATACAAGCACGATGGTTTTCAAGTGTTAGAAAAGAAGCCTGTCAATCTAGAATTCTGTATTCAGCAGCAACAGTCCTCACGAATGAAGACAGAATCAAGACATTTTAAGATTAATAAAAGCTCAGAGGATTCATTCCCAGCAGATCCTTAGACGAGGAGGTGCCAGAGGAGATGAAAAACACCAAAAATGATAAATTTGGGAGTGAACATAAAAGACTTTTTTCCCTTTCAGTTCTGAAGTTCTTCAAGAAGCATTTGATGTTTTAAAGCAAAAATCACATCCTATTGTGGGATTTTTCATAAATGTGGAGGTGACTTACAGGGCAGTGGAAGCTCACAGGATGCGCTGAGAGCAAATTCGAGGGCCCCTGTGCCGCATGTGGCCTGGAGTGGGACTCAGCGTGAAGAGCTCTGTTGGGTGAAGGATGCATGCCACAATCCCCAGAGCAAGGGCTAAGAAGTGGAGTAAATAAAGAGATGTATCAAAGATCTAATACAGGATATAAATTGGCATACTAAAAAATACTCACTTCATTCAAAAAAAAAAAAAAGAGCGGAAAGGAACAAAGAACATGGAAGTCAAAAGGAAAGCAAGGAGCAAATGGTGGATTTGACCCGGCCACATCAGTCATTCCATTAAATGTGAATGAACCAACATGGCAGTTAAAATGCAGAGTTTATCCTTTGGAGCGTAGGAGTGACACCCGGTGATGAACCACGTACAGGACACCTGCAGAGTTTATCCCTTGGAGTGTAGGAGCGACACCCGGTGATGAACTGCGTACAGGACACCTGCAGAGTTTATCCCGTGGACTGTAGGAGCGACACCCGGTGATGAACTGCGTACAGGACACCTGCAGAGTTTATCCCTTGGAGTGTAGGAGTGACACCTGGTGATGAACTGTGTACAGGACACCTGCAGAGTTTATCCCGTGGACTGTAGGAGCGACACCCGGTGATGAACTGCGTACAGGAGACCCTCTTGAAACGTGGAGACCCAGGTTAAAGGTAAAAGGATGGGAGAGAGGCAGTGTGCAGGCACCAGCCACAAGAAAGCTGGTGTGGCAATGTTAAACAGCCCAGGCAGGCGCTCCCAGGTTGATATATCTCCAAGAAGACATAATGCTAAATGTGTGTTCACCTAATAGCAGAGCTTGAAATACAGGAAGCAAAATACGGATACGTCTTCCATTCCTCTCTGAGCAGCTGACAGGACAGCAGGGCTACAGGTGGAAGGACCAGTCCTCACTCATCAGCATTTATGGAACGCCCAGCAACTGCATAACGCGGATCAAAAGTCAGTACCCAGGAGGCTGAACTCTCCTCCCTGGGCTGCTAGGTCGCCATGCCTGCCTTAGAAGGTGTTTTCAGCCTCAGACCACCGGCTTGCATGGGCCAAGGGGCAGGGCCATCCTCCTTTGACTCTGTCGGGGCAGAGGGGCAGATATGGCTGTATGCTTCTGCAGGCAGATCCCTGGCTCTGGCCCCCTGGCCCGTGAAGGGGGTCTACCTGTGAACCAGCATCTTTTTTACGGAATCAATTCGGTGCCTCCTCTGAGCTGAACCTCGTGGGTGTGCCCCCTGCCCATGTGACGTTGCGGTCCCAGCCGTGGCAGCCCTGCGGCAGCCACCATCCAAGGACGAGGAGCCGTGGAGCCGATGCTGCTGTGACACCTAGGGGTGTGTGTCCGGCAGAGCTCTGGGTGCAGAGTGGACCTTCTGAGGCCAGACTTCCATGAGCGCCTGGGCAGTAGAGCCTGTAGAGTGGAGGGGCCCCAAAAGAGGGGCCGGTTCTGTGGATCTGTTCTTCCAAGTCCCCTGAAAAGTTAAAAAGACAGTCATTAAAAAAAACAGTCAATGATTCTGCCCCGTGGTTCTGGGGGCTGCCTGGACACAGCCAGTTTGTTTTGGGTTGGGGCATCTCATGAGGTAACTGTGAGAGTCAGCTGGGGCCACAGTCTCGAGGGTCCACTGGCTGGATGTCCCCACAGCCCACGCCCACCCTTGCCACGTGACCCCAGCTCCGTGGTTCTGAGAGCAACCCCAGGCGGCTCTCTCCGGCACTCAGGCCACACATGGGCGCTCCAGGCCTTAGAAAGCCAGGGGCCAGTTGCCCTGTGTCCCTGCAGTCTGGCGAGTCCCTGAGGCTGGCTTGGTTTCAGGGAGGGCAGAGCCCTGTGCACGTGTGCTCTGGGCCAGGAGATGCCCCATCTTAGATACCACCTGCGCAGGCCACAGGCCAACAACAGTGACCCAGGGAGGGAGAGGGGGCCCAGGGTGGGCCATCGTGTCCTCCTCACTGGCCCTGTGTCCTGCAGCGTGGAGTCCCAGCTGGTGGCGGAGATGCTGTGCACGGCCGCGGGTGTCCAGGGCAGGAGCATCATGGAGAACCTGAAGGGCCAGAAGCAGCTGCGGCTGGTGGCGGCCAAGGCCTTCATGGAGAGCGCCAGGTGTGCGGCTGTGAGGCAGCTGGGGTGGCACTGTGGGGCCTCTGACACTCCGCTGTCGTGTGGGACCCTGTGCTCACCAAGGTTGTGGCTGTTCTGTGGGTCCAAGGGAGAGCTCCCACCAGCGGGGGCAGGGTGGACGGCGTGGCCAGAGGGGGCGCAGTCTTCAAGGAGGTGTGGTGGCCCCCTCTTGCCCGTGGACCCACCTGGGCTCCTACAGCCTGGCCTTGGCGAGGGTCTGGCCCTGCGCTGCCCAGAAAGGCCCACTGCAGAGGACGCAGCAGGGATGCCTGAGCGAGCCACAGGCCCGGGAGGGAGCAAGCGTGTGGACGGGCCCGTCCCTCCCGGTCCAGCAGCTCCAGCTGGGCCCAGGCGGAGCTCCCGCGTCACGACTTGCCTCTTTCAGATTTGGAGGCATCGCGGGCAGCAGCACCCTGGTGATGCTGGCCGCGCGGCACTACTGGAATGCCTGGCTCCCACTCCTGTCCTCGGCAGTCTACAGGAAGAAGGCCCAGGGTGCCCTGCAGAGGCTCATCCGCATCATCAACAGGACAGAGGCCAGAAAGCAGGTGCGTCAGGCCTGGAGGGGGCCCCTGGTTCCCACTGAGGCCTCCAGCGGGTCTTTTGGAAAGGACTGGGGAGACTCCCACAGGCAGACAGACAGCCCCCACAGGCCTCCCACGGGGTGCACCAGCGCCAGCCAAGGAGGGGAAGGAGTGAAGGCGGGTCCTCAGCTCAGCACTGCGGGGGCCCCTGCTGGGCTCAGTGCTCAGCTCTGACCTCCCCCAGCAACACACATGCATCGAGGTGCTCTCAGCCCTGGAGACACACAGCAAGGGAGGGGGAGCGAGGCCCACACCATCGCTGCTTGAGGGGCTTGGATTCTAGGCAGGGGGCACAGGCCCCACCTGCGGTGAGAGAGGGTGCCCTGAGGAACGGCGAGCGGAGGGTAGGGTGGGGCGGGGGCTGGGCCTCTGGTGGCTTGGGGCAGAGTGGGGTGGTGGGGAGCAGAACCCGCAAGGCCTAGGGGATGGGGCAACCCAGGGAGGAGCCCCGTGAACTCAGGAGTGCATCTCCTAGGGCTGTAGAGGGAGACTGGGCGTGGGTGCTGGGGTGGGTCCTGCAGGCCTCTCCAAGAGCAGGAGCCCGGCCGGCTCCTCCGTGGGCACAGGCCAGCAGGACAAGCCTCCACCTTATGGACTGGGCTTCCCGAGCAGGCTCTGGAGTTGGTGACGGCTTCGTGCTCCTGGGTTCACAGGTCTGTGGGCACAGCTCCCTGCTGGGGAACGGGAGGCAACTCCCTCCTCCTGGAAAGAGGCTGAGACTCGAGGGTTGGGTCAGTCTTCAGACCAGGGCTGAGCCAGACCAGCCCACTCTGAGCTCTCTTCTGCCGGCCTCGGCTCTAACCAGGAATCAGAGGTCAGCCACAGAGAGCCCATAAAAAGGGCCCATTCTACAAGAAGCAGAGCCCCATAACCCAAATCTCCAGTGGGAGGAGGACAGGGGAGTGGGGTATCGGACAGCAGGCACAGATGGTGGGCAGGGCCACGGAAGCCACTGCCCGGGATCCTTAGATGCACGCCCCACGCAGCTTCTTGGCCTGACTCTGAAAAGGCCATGTCAGGGCCTCTGGGCTGTGCAGCCCACCCCAGCCTCTCTCCCATGCTGGCCTCCTCCTGGGGAGTGCCTCCTCATCCAATGTGGTCTTGGCAAAGGGACCCTCCTAGGCTGGCTCCCCCAGAAAGCTCAGATCTGAGCTCTATGGAGAGCTGCCTCTGGAGCCAGAGTGGAGAGCACAGAGGCCAGCTGAGGCTGCTCTGCCCGGCCCGCCGCCCTGCCAGCCTGCCATCCCGCGTGCGGGCAAGATGTAGCTTCCTGGCCTCGGGCTTGGCCTCCCCCTGGTGCTGCCCAGGAAGACCAGAGTAGATTTTTACTGCTTGTGACCAAGAATCCCGGCTGACTCGTGCGGCTCCTGCAGGGCCCTGTGAAAGGTCCTGTGGATGGTGAGGGCTGTGACGGAACGGGGTACGTGGTCAGAGAGCCTCAGGACAGAGCCTGCATGTCAGTCCCTTAGCAGACATTCTCTGGGTTGACTTTTCGCTCATTTGATCCTGGCATTTGATGCATGAATGCTCCTGATTTTTTAGAGGTCCAGTTTGTCTGTTTTTTCTTTTGTTGCTTCGTCTTTGGTGTCACATCCCTGGTCATGGCCACATCCAATACCTGAGGATGTTCTCTATGATTTTCTTCTAAGAATGTTGTAGCTTCAACTCTTGAGTTTAGCTCTTTGATCTGTTTTGAGTTAATTTTTGCATATGGTATTAGGTAAAGGTTCAACATCATTCTTTTGCTTGTGGACACCCAGTTTTTCCAGCACCACTTGAAGAGACTGTGCTTTCTCTTGTGAATGTTCTTGGCACCCTTGTTGAAAATAATTTGACCAGAAATGCAAGGCTTTCTTTCGGGCTCTCTGGTCTGTGTCACTGGCCTAAATGGGTATCATTTTGCCAGTGCTGTTTGAGCGGCTGTAGCTTGTGATATGTTTCCAAGCTGAAAAGTGTGGGTGCTCCAATTCTGCTTTTTTTTTTCAAGATTGTTTTGGCTCTGTGGGGTCCCTTGCAATTCCATATGAGTTTGAGGATCATTTTGTAGACTTTTTTTTTTTTTTTAAAGACTGTTGGAACCCATAGGGATTGTGTTGAATACTGCTTTGGGTGGTATTGACATTCTAACACTGTTAAGGCTTCCTATCCATGAATATGGGTTAGCTTTTCATTAATTTAGATCTTTAATTTCTCTCAGGAACATTTTATAGCTTTTAGCATATAAGTCTTTTCACCTGTTTGGTTAGATTTATTTCCAAGTACTTAATTTTTTTAAGGTGTTGTGATGAATGGGAGTGCTTTCTGTCTTAGCTTGGTTGCCGTAACAAAATACTGGATGTTCCAAGTACTTAACTTTTTAAAGGTGTTGTGATGAATGGGAGTGGTCAGACTGGATGGCTTAAACAACAGAAATTTATTTCTCACAGTCTGGACCTGGAAGTCTGGATCAGGGTGCCGGTGTGCCTGGGTTCTGGTGGAGAACGTTCCTGGCCACCAACGCCCGGCCGCCTTCTCACTGTGCCTTCATGTGGCACACGTGGCACACAGGAGGAGACAGCAGGGCCTCTGGTGTTTCTTCTTTTTTTTTTTTGAGATGGAGTTTCGCTCTTGTTACCCAGGCTGGAGTGCAATGGCGCGATCTCGGCTCACCGCAACCTCCGCCTCCTGGGTTCAGTGGTGTCTCTTCTTAAAGCGTGCTGATTTCATCATGGGGACCCCACTCTCATGACCTTATCTAACCCCATTACCTCCCAAAGGCCATGTCTCCAGAGACCACCACAGTGGGAGGTAGAGTCTCAGGAGATGAATTTTGGGGGCACACAGTTCAGTCTGTAGCACTTTCTATCTAATTTCCTTTTGGGATTTTTCATTCCTGGTGAATAAAAACACAGCTTACTGTTGTGCCCTGCCACTTTTCTGAATTCATTATTTGGCTCCAATAGCCTTCTTGTAGATTTGTAAGGATTTTCCATATATAGGATCATGTCATCTCTGAGTAGAGAGAGTTTTACCACTTCTCCAATTTAGATACTTCTATTTCTTGTTTTTGTCTGATAGCTCTGGTTCCAGCCCCCGGTGTGGTGTGGAGTAGCGGCGGGGGCCATGACTGTCCTGATCCTCCTAGTGAGAGCTTCCGCCTCACCATTGCATGTGACACGAGCTGCAGGCTTCCCATAGGGACCCTTTATCGTGTTGAGGAATTTTCTATTTTGAGTTTTCTGAGAGTTTTTATCATGAAATAGCATTGGGTTTTGTCAGACGCCTTTTCTCCATCCGTTGAGCTGGTCACGAGGCTTTCTCCTTTGTTGTGTTAATGCTGAGCCCTGATCTGCGCGCAGTGGACCACCCTTGCCTTTCTCACAGACCCCACTTTGTCATAGGAGTCATCTTTTAATACGCTGCTGGATTTCATTTGCTAATCTTTTGTGGAGGATGTTTGTGTCTGTATTCATAAGGAATATTGTCCATAGTTTTCTTTTCTTGTGATGTCTTTGTCTGGATTTGGTATGAGAGTAATGCTGGCCTCATAGAGTGAACTTGGGAGTGGTTCTTTGTCTTTAAATTTTTGAAGAGTTTGTATGGATTGCTGCTAATTCTTCCTTAAATGTTTGGTAGAATTCACTGGTAAGCCACCTAGTCCAGGATTTTTCTTTGTTAGGAGGCTTTTGATTGCTAATCTATCTATTATGAGTCTGTTGAGATTTTCTATTTCTGCCTGAGTCAGTTTGGGTGTGTTTGCAGGGGTTTGTTCATTTTTTCTAGGTCGTCTGATTTGTTGGTGCGCCAAGGCTCGTCGGACTTTCTTACAACCGCTCTTGCCTCCCCGACACCGGCAGTGACGTCTTCACTTGCGTCACTTACTTTAGTTATTTGAACAGTCTTCATTTCTTTTGTTAGTCAGCTAAAGTCTTGTCAATTTTTTTGCTCTTTTTGAAGAGCCGACTTTTAAACGGTAGATTTTCTTCGTTGTTTTTCTGTTCTGTCTGCGCCCTTCCTTCGCTGGTGTTTTTAGTTCCTTGCGATGTGAAGTTGGACTGTTGACGGAGACCCTTCTCGGTGCAGCGTGTACGGCTGTGAACTGAGTGCGGCTCTCGCGGCGTCCCCGAGGCTTTGACGTGCTTTTCGTCACATTGCTTTAGAGCCGTAAAACCAACTTAGATGTTTCATATCATTGAAACACCTCTCAGTTATGTTAGGGGAGTCGTCATAGACTTTTTGTGACGTAGTAGTTCAGAAATTAGCTGCAATATCTGTAATTAGTTAGAGCCAAATTGTTAGCGCAGAACCTAGCGGACTCGTGCACCGCCAAAGTACGTTCCCAGCGGCAAACCCACGGGGCGCTGCAGCAACCTCGATTCTTGGCTCCTCAGAAAAAAGACTTGAGCTGGGGAGCATAAGGCAGAAGGAGAGACTGAGGCAAGTCTTAGAGCAGGGGTGAGCGTTTATTAAAGAGCTTTAGAGCAGAAAAGGAAGCAAGGAAAGGACTCTCGGAAGAGGGCCACGTTGGGGGTTGGGGAGATCACGTGTGGGGTTCAACCTTTGACTTGGGGTTTCATACTGTGGCGGGACTCTTGCTTAACACAGCTAAAGACAGGGTCCTTGTCACACTGCCACAAAAGATGAGGCTCATAGACAATGTGAGGAGTGAGGCAGCGTTTAAGGGGTGAAAAGAAGAAAAGAGGAAACAGACGCTCGGTGAAGTGACAGCGTGTCCTGCCTGTGCCCTTCTCAGCCCCCCGACGGAATCCCAGGTTCTCCCGGGAAGAGGAGGGGCGGGCTCCTCCCCGTGCGAAGGCCCTCAGAGATCCTCTGGGGACCCCTTCCCGCCTGGCTGCCTCAGTACACTGGCAGGCCTCCAGGGTCCCCGTGATGCTTCCCTTGGGTGTACAGTGGCTGCCCACACGCGGGAGGGGACGCATGCCCAGTGTGTTTACTGGAGTTGCACATGTGCTCCTTGAGGTGTTCCCTTTCCAGTCGAGTGTCCCTAGAGGAAGGTCGCAGACCAGTGAAACTGCCGTTTACCTCTCAGTGTGAGAGCTTGAGCCCCCTCGCCCAGCTCCTGAGATCTTACTGGGAAGCTGCTCATCACCTGGTTTAGGCTTTTTTCTGTCTCCTGGGAGACGGCCTTTCCCTGGGGCTGGCTGAGACCAATTGTTATTTTAGAGACAGGCTGACGTTCCTGGTGGAGGAGCCCCTCCTGCCCTGCTCACCTTCGACTAGCTACCTACTGTAGCAAAGTCAAAAGCAAAATGATGCCAGCCTAAAAGGAAGAAGCTGAGGCAACAGCAGAATGAGTAGAGAGTTTACCTGGGCCAAGCGGCCCTGCACTTGCTCCAATTAGAGGCTGTTACGAGTGGGGTTTTAAAGGGAAAGAAGAGGCAGTTCCTGAGTTGTCTGCCACGAATTTACATTAAAAGTATATAAGCTGCTAGTTGGCTGTATATCGTTTGCTTTAGAATGCGGGCTACAGCGGCCGGTCCGGCAGTGTCAGGTTGATTGACAGCCATTTGTGGCAACAGCAGACAGTTTAAGGAGAGGAACACATAGCTCCGAGCGGGGATTTCTTATCTCCTGGTGAAAGACTATCTCGCAGCTTTCAAGTATTCACTTGTTGTTTACTTGTTTTGCTTTAGGAGGAAGAGAAGACGCTGCTCCTGCACCAGTGGCCCACAGCCGACTTCCAAGGCGGCGGGACGGCCGACGGGTCTTTTCTTCCAGGTTTGTAGCCGGACAGATGGACCCATGGGCTCCAGGTACAAGGAAGGGGAAGGACTTGGGCACAATTTTAAACATGTGGTGCTTTTAAACTCCTGTGCCCTGACGTGACGCGCCCCCACAGTAACTCCAGACAGCATCTGTTCAGCATTTGATGCCTGATGGGCCCTGAGTGCTCTTCAGGAATGAGCTCATGAAATTCCCTCTCGACATGCAAAGAGGCAGAGCCGGGGTCTTCTCACTGTCCACCTAAAAAGTCAAACTGTAAACGATCGGCCGGGATTGATGCTGAGCCAATGTGAGGAGCAGAAGGTCCTGAGAATGTGTGCCTAGGGTCGTTGGTTTACAGCTTGACTTTATACATTTTCAGGGCAGAAGTTACAGGCAGAGACATCAATGCATGTATGGGGCACATTGGTTTGGTCCAGAAAAGTAGAACATCTCGGTGGCAAGGGGGTTTCCAGGTCACTGGTAGATTTACAGATTTTCTGATTGACAATTTGTTGAAAGAGTTATTATCTAAACCCCTGGTATCAATGGAAAGGAATGTCTGGGTTCAGATGGGAGCCGTGGAGACCAAGGTTTTTATCTTGCAGATGAAGCCTTGAGCTCTTTTAGACAAAAAGACACCATACTTGGCTAATTCTCCTCTGGATCAGGGAAAAGCCCTGCAGAGGGAAAAGAGGATTCTCAACAGGATGTGGATTTTCCCCGCAAGAGACAGCTGTGTGGGGTCACGTCAGAATATGCCAAAGAAAGATACTTGGGTATAAAATACTCGGATCCCTTTCAGGGCCTGCCGTCCGTCACGCGGCGCTGTGCAGAATCAGGCTGACGCTTGGCGTCTTCCTGCTGCAGAGTCCGCTCTGTCTCGGCCTGAAGAGCTCCGTTTTCTCGTGGAGGCTGGTCCCGTGTGCCTGAGTTCCAAACAGAGAGGGGATGCTGTGGCCTGTCCACCCCTCCCCCTCCGCCCCCTCCGCCACTAAACTGGTTTTTCAGGCGCACCTCAGAAGGCCCTTGGCCAAGAGGAGGGTCCATTCGGCCGGCTGGGGGCTGAGAGTGTTATTGTTGGTTTACGTAACCCTCGTCCAGGTCCACACGCACCTGAGGCCAGAGTGGACACTCACACCCCTGGTTGCGGCTGCCGTGGAGTCTGCCTCTCGGCTGTGCTGGCAGAGAAATCGCATTGTTCTACTTCCACTAAAAACGTGGACACATACTCCTGCAAAAACAAACACACAAAAACCTATGCTTACCTTAGAACAACAGAACCATATTAGAATACCCGTTCATGTTCATAGAAGAAAAGTGGTCATCTGCTAAAAAATATTATCCCTGTTAAGAGTCCTAATGTGTATTTGGGAAATCTTTAAATGCTGTGGAACAGAAAAGTGGAAACTGCCTTGAGCATTTTAGAGCCTATTTAGAGAGGCAAAGTTGATTTAAAATAATAAACAAAAGTGTGGCTGTGTGTAGTTAACTACTAAGTTGAGCACGAACCCCAGCAGTGTGTGCAGATGACCGGTCCTGCAAGCGTGAGACCCAGGCGCACGGCAGGCCTGTCCACCGAGAGGCCAGGCTGCAGCGGGGCAAGGGTTAATCCTCAGGCCGCTGAGCAGGACGTGGGAGAAAGCCTCGGACCCACCTCCCTGAGGAGTCCGGAGGTAGAGATCTTGAAGGTTTTGGAGAGGACAGAAGTGTGGAGACAGCTCTCTGGTGGGAGAGCACAGGGTCTTGGGAAGGCATTCCCAGACCGACCCCTATCCCACTCCTCTGTGGGGGACTCCACACGGGCACGTTCCTCCTCCCCACGCACAGTCCACGGCCCTCACCCCACCCCGGAGGCACCCAGAGAGCCTCTGGGGAGGAGGAGACAGTCCACAGGAATGCATGGTGGGTGAGGTCCGGCTGCAGCGCCACCGCCCGTGAATTGGAAGTGCATTAGGTCCTCCCAGGACAGGACTGTGGGTCAGCCAGGAGGTCGCACCTCATGGCCAGCTCTCCCTCCACTTAGGCAGGATTGAAGAGGACTCCTTGCCACTCCATGTGTGGTTTCCAAGTTCATCAGACCCTGGTTTACTGCATTCAAATGGGAGGAGGCAGGACTCAGGGTCCTGGGACCGACTTGGTTCCTGGGTTTCAGACTTGGAGCAGCTTCTCTGGCCGGTGCCTGGGTGAGGAGGGCCTGGCAGAGTGAGAAGGCCACAGTGAGCCCACAGATCCTGGCATCCGATGGGGCACCGTGCTCCCAGCCAGGGGCGCGTTCACTCCTTAGACCCAGTGGACCAACTCTGGAGAACGCAGAGTCTCATGAAAAATGAGTCAGAGAAGGGAAAGAAGGCTCCACGCCCTGTGACGTGAACCTCAGTGGTCCAGGTGCCAGCACCAGAGGTGGGTCCTGCTGATACCATGACGGGGCTGGTGCAGGCGACGGGCTCCAGCCCTCAGCGCTGTGGCCTGCAGGGTGCTGGGGGAGGGCGCGGAGAAAACGGGGTCTGTCTTTCCTTAGGGTCCTATTTATCTTTAAAATTACAGAAAAGCACCAGATTTCTGAAAAGAGGAATGCATGAGGGACTGCCGAGTCTAAGAAGGCTCCAGAGGGTGGGTGGAGGCGGGTGCTGTCCCGACCTGGCCCAGAGACCCTTGAGCAGCACAGAGGGCCAGTGGGGGCAGCCGGGGTGCTGCAGGCCATGGAAGCAGCGGGAGGGGAGCCAGGCGAGGGGCGGCCGGGGTGCAGCAGGCCATGGAAGCAGTGGGAGGGGAGCCAGGCGAGGGGCGGCCGGGGTGCAGCAGGCCACAGAAGCAGCAGGAGGGGAGCCAGATGAGGGGCAGCGGGGGTGCAGCAGGCCATGGAAGCAGCAGGAGGGGAGCCAGGTGAGGGGCAGCGGGGATGCAGCAGGCCACAGAAGCAGCGGGAGGGGAGCCAGGTGAGGGGCAGCCGGGGTGCAGCAGGCCACAGAAGCAGCAGGAGGGGAGCCAGGTGAGGGGCAGCGGGGGTGCAGCAGGCCATGGAAGCAGCGGGAGGGGAGCCAGGTGAGGGGCAGCGGGGGTGCAGCAGGCCACGGAAGCAGTGGGAGGGGAGCCAGGTGAGGGGCGGCCGGGGTGCAGCAGGCCACGGAAGCAGCGGGAGGGGAGCCAGGTGAGGGGCAGCAGGGGTGGAGACAGCCGGGAAACCCGATACCTGCTGCCGGCACATGGGTGGAGCCTGCACTGGTACCCACTGTGGTTCTCGGACGCTCAGTGCAGTAGAAATTGACTTGAGACCCAAAGAGTTTTCCAGACAAGGCTTCATCGAAGATTATTCCTGGCACAAGAGGAAGAGAGATCCCTCACTGACCTCTGAAAGAGCCAGGAGGGCACAGGAATTGTCATTAGGTAGGGTGTGCAGGCTGGCCCAGACAGCGCCCGTGACGGGGAGGGGATGGGTCAGCATCCTGGTTGCCAAGGAGGTGCTGGGGCGGGGGCAGCAGCAAGGCACAGGTCCACTGCTGGGCACCCCTTCCTGAGGTGGGGGCTCCATGGCCTTGGTGTGATATTTCGCATCTCCCGAGGTTCCTGGAATCCTTGTGGTAAAAGGATGCTTGGCTGGGAGGCTGTGGAGCAGGCTGGGTTCTGTGAAGAGTGGGTATGTGTGAGGGGGTCCAGCCTTGTGTCCACCCCGTCTCCTCACAGCCCCTTCATCGGCAGCTCGCCCAGACACTGAGGGTTCCGTCCCACCAGGCTCCACCCCACTGGCTTCGTGCATACGGCGGCACTGACAGCCCATGGGGCGACCTATGAAGTCTGCGTGGGGGCTCACTCAGCAGGCAGGCAGTCCTTGCGTGTGCCATGGTCGTGGCACTTTGCCTCTGCATGTCACGCAGCAGCCTCTGCGGAGACATGGGGCTGTTCCCGTGCCGCAGCGGGCACCAAGCCTGAGGACTCCAGAAAGTGGACATGGCGCTGTGTCCTTGGCTGCGGGGGTGCTTTCCATGCAACTCCTGAGAGGACCCTGAGTCCTGCTCGCTGATGTTCATCAGTACGTGGAGACGCAGGAGTGTGTTTGTGAATGCAGACCTCTCCAAGCAGATGGGGAGGGAGAGGCAGAGACCAGCAAGGAGACAAGACAGCTGCTCCCCACGGTGGAAAGGACATCTCGGGTGGCCGGTGGCGGGCTGGAGGGGCCACATAGGTCCACAGCTGGCATGAGCCCCGCAGGGCACGCACTGGCCTGGGCGCCTGTGTAGCCATGGTTCCACCTCGGGGGCACTGTGATGGGCAGTGCGGTCCAGGAGGTCTGAGGGTGCTGTTGAGGGATCAGGCGGCTCCAAGGACACCCCTCCTTCTCCCTCCCAGGGGCTGAGGACGACCTGACACTCCGCGCCGCGCTCTACGGCCTGCTCTTCCACAGCCATGCCGACCAGGACGACTGGGAAGGCGGCCTCAAGGTGCTGGACGAGGCTGTGCAGGTGCTGCCGCGGACGGCCCACCGCCTGTGAGTGCTCCCCCCACCGCCTGTGAGAGCTCCACTCACCACCTGTGAGCGCCCCGCCTCCTGCACCCCCACTGGAGTGTGTGCCCTCCACCCAGAGCGTGCTCCCCCCACCGCCTGTGAGTGCTCCCCCCACCGCCTGTGAGTGCCCCCCACACCGCCTGTGAGTGCCCCGCCTGATGTGCCCCTACTTGAGTGTTCTCCCTCCACCCGGGGCATGCTCCCCACACCGCCTGTGAGTGCTCCCCATACCGCCTGTGAGTGCTCCCCACACCGCCTGTGAGTGCTCCACCCACCGCCTGTGAGTGCTCCGCCCACCACCTGTGAGCTCCCCACCTGCCGTCCCCCTGGGGCGTGCTCCCCACACCGCTTGTGAGTGCTGCACCCCCTGCTACAGTGTGCTCCCCCCACCCGGAGTGTCTCCCCCACCACTTGTGAACACCCACCTGCTGCACCCTGCCTGGAGCATACTCCCCCACCCCACATGGTCCCTCTCTGCCTGGGCCTCCCCCAGTTCCCACTCTCGCTGGAAGCCTTGACTTCCCCAGGAAAATTCAACACAGAGAGCGGGAACTTAAAACGCAGTGCGGCCTCGAGACCCCACCCACCCGGGCTCTGTTTGGCTTCCTCGTTTTACGCAGGGCGTGGAGGAGCAAGGGCTGCATCGCACACGTTTAAGGTCCCGCCGTCCAATCCCAGCGCAGGGTTATCTCCTTCCCTTCCTTTAGCTTGATCTTCAAGCACATGATCATTGTGAAGGCCAAGCTCGGGCAGAATTTCTCGATGGAAATCCAGAAGTTCAAGGCTGAGAGTGAGGACTACGTGGCAGGCATGTGGCACCGGCTGGCCCTGAACTCGCGGAGCGTGTCTGGAGAGCTGGCCTGCTACCACGGCGCCATCCAGGCCTTGCAGGTGCGAAACCATGAGCATGGGTGCCGTTTATCCTCGAGTGGACGAAAGCTCAGCTGGGAACTGGCATGGGCGGCATTTATGGCTGACGGTGCAGAATGTACCACACGGCCCCGGTGCTCCTCCTGCTGACCAGTCAGGGACGACGGACGGAGTTGGTTTCAGTGATCCCTTTCCAGCATGGAGGGGTCATGGTCAGGTCCTTGTCCCTGAGGAGGGTGTGGGGGGCTCAGAGGGTGCTGTCCCAGGTGGAAGCACCTAGGCTCCTCCAGAGGCACAGGGGCCCAGATGGGCGTGTGGCGGCAGAGGAGAGCAGGGCTCTGCAGGGCCCTGGGATTTGGGGTCATGGAGGACATTGGTGTGTCTTCCCCACCCACAGAAGCCAAGACAGACGTTTCCCTGGATGCTCCTGGAGTGGGCTTGGGAAAAGGCAGGCGCTTTGGCATCGATTTGACTCCTCTGCTTATCAGGAGCAAGGGCCGTGCGGTGCATAGCGCAGAACTTCATCCTGGGGACAAAAAGCATCCCAGGCCCCTGGCGTGAAAGGCACAAACTTTCCAACATTAGCGAATATCTTAAAAGGCTTTTCTGTTACGCAGGCTGTTTCTCTGGCTGAGAACAGTCCTCCCCGAGGAGTTTGGATTGCCCTGGGGTCCAGGTGGCCCCTGGGTGGGGTAACTGAGCATAGTCCGGAGGCTCTGCCAGGTGCTGAGAGTGCAGCTCAGGGCACTGGACTGTCAAGGCAGACTCCCGGGTACCGCCACGGGGAGCCACGCTGTGCCACGTTGCCTCGCTTCAGGGAACCAGAGGCTATGTCGTTCCTTGGCAGTTGCCCTGCTGGGGTTGGCAGGGATCAAGCAGGGAGGGACCCAGCCTCCTTCAGGGAAAGCAGGAAGGGCCTGAGGAGGGGTGGCAGGGGAAGGCAGGACCCAGCTGAGCCGCGCTGGCCCTAGGGGTGGAAACCCTTGAAAGTGTTTTCCGTCCTCACTGACCCGAGTCCTTCCTTCAGTTGTCTGTTTTTGTTAGAGGTACAATGTGATGTTTTTAGTAAATTCTCAGGGTTATACAGTCATCACCCCCACACAATTTTAGAACGTTTCATTGCCCCCCAAAACCCTGCGTCCGTCAGCACTCACTCCCCATCCTTCCCTCCCTCCGCTGGCCCTGGCGAGCCACGGATCCGGACATTTTCTGTAAACAGAATGGAGCATGACACGGTCCTTCGTTCAGCGTGACATCACCCGGGGCCGTCCCCATCGTTCCCACTCAGGGCTGAGTAGTATCCGGTGTGCGTCTGACGTTCTAGTACGTGCTTATCTGTTAGGCCACGGATGCCGTTCGTGTCGTTTCCCACTGCCTGCTGTGAAGAACGCTGCTGTCAGCATTTGCTCACGCGTCCTGGCCTGGCCCCGTCCTTGCCTCCCGTGGGCACAGCCCCACGGTGGAGTTGCTGGGCGCACGGCTGCCCTGTGTGGGGCTGTCCGAGGAAGGGTCGGATCATCTCCCTCAGCGGCCGCAGCGTTGCTGTTCCCACCCCCAGCGCGTGGGGCTCCGGTTTCTCCGCACCTCACACCGGCTCTCGATCTCATCTGACTAGCCATGCTGTGGGCGTGAGGGGTGTCTCCTCGTGCCTGCCGGCATTTTCCCAGTGACCGAAGATGGCGCGTGTGTTCCCAAGGGCCGGTGGGCCGTTTGTAGGTCGTCGGAGAAGTGTCCACTGCGGCCCTCTGCCCATTTGTGGTCTGCTTGTTTGGTTTTGGCCTGTAGGAGCTCGTGGTGCACTCGGGATGCAAGTTCTTCAGCAGGGGCGTCGCCAACAAACCCTTCTTCTCTGAGCGGCTTTCCAGCCACTTCTTCACTTTCTGGGTGGTGCGATTTATGGCACAGTTGGAAATTGTGATGGATTCTAGTTGTCTATTTCTTGTGTTGTTGCTTGTGTTGGTATTGTAGCTGTGCCTGCCCGCGTTGCTGGCGTGGCGTGTGCGTTTGCGCGCGTTGCTGGCGTGGCGTGTGCGTTTGCCCGCGTTGCTGGCGTGGCGTGTGCGTTTGCGCGCGTTGCTGGCGTGGCGTGTGCGTTTGCCCGCGTTGCTGGCGTGGCGTGTGCGTTTGCGCGCATTGATGGTGCTGTGTCTGCAAAACCCAAGGTGATGAAGGTTTATTCCCTGTCATTTTCTGAGTTTTATGGTTGTAGCTCTTATGTTTATGAGTAATACAGTGTGAGGCAGGGTCCCCGGCACTCCTCAGCCTGTGGACGCCAGGTGGCCCCGCGCTTCTGTTGAGAAGATGACCCACTTTCTCTTGAACTTCCCCATCAGGGCCAAGGCCCTCCCCAGTGTGCACAGCTTTTGTGGGAGCCGTCACCAGCCTCCACAGCTGCTCCCCTCCCTCCCCATCTGTGGCCTTCCTTCACGGGGCTTCCAGGCCCTGCTGCCCCACTGGTTCCTCATCCTTCTCCCCTTCCCACCTCTTCATGACAGAGGAAGCCCTGGGTTAAGGGCAGGACCTTGGCGATCTGATTAGCACCCCGCGTCCTGAACTAAGTGCCGAGTGTGCACGGGCCAGGCCTTGGGCTGCGCTCTGCGTCTGGGTGCAGGACAGAGCAAGCACCTTTCCTGCTCTGCGGGGGCCTCCCCTCCAGCAGGGACACAGGGCTGCCCAGAACCACCCAGAGAGGGCCACCCTCAGACCAGGGGACAGTAGGACCCCTGCTTTGTGTCCTCCTGCAGCGCAGGGGACATGTGGGCCCTGGGAGGGCTGCCTGTGAAAACAGACAGCAGTGCCACCTTGTCTGTACCTGGAACATCTCAATGACCCTAAATAGCAACATGGTCTCATTGGAGGCGGCCTCCAAACGTAACTGTGGGGTAAGAATGAATCTTTTTTTAGAAAATGAGCAGTGAAAGTGTTTCACAGTGCAAGCGACGCCTTCAGAGCCATCCTGAGGATGTCACCCTTTCTGTTTGATCCCAAAGAAGCCTGAGACGGAGTGGCAGAAGGTGGACTACCTCCTGGAGTTCAGCCAGTGGCTCTACCACAGACACTTTCCTCTCGAGGACGTGGTCTTCCACCTCCGCTGGGCCATCGAGATCCTGCTGGCCATGAAGCCGCCCAGCGACGCCCCCGAACCAGAGCCCATGCCGGACGGTGAGTCCACGCCGTGGCCAGGGTACCAACCCCGCACTGCTCCACCTGCACTCTCCTCCTTATCCAGAGCCTGGACGGCCTTTAGGTGTCCACGTGTCCATGCAGGCTTTGGAGGTCAGGAGCCCCGGGTGCGTCTCAGCGATGCCCCCTGCAGGGGCCCTGAGGTAGTCAGTCTGACAGCCACCAAATCACCTTTACAGAACGGCCTTGCAGGTCAGGGGGAAGGCAAGTTCTCAGGCACGTGGCTGGGCCGGCCCAGAGGCTGCCTTCCTCAGGAGGCTGGGGGAGGGGGAGTCCTGAGCCCCCAGACCCTGCGGGCACCTCGGCCACCCCAAAAGTCCCTTCCAACTCAAGGTGGGGGCTCCCTTTTCCAGCTGCGGGCCCCTGCTCACAGCAGTGCAGGGAGGTGGGGGTTGCTGGTAAGCGGGGACCTGGGCAGACGATGTAGGCCTCACTGGCATCATCCAGGGCTTAACCATGGCCGGTGCCTGGGCACAAGCCCAGGGTGACCTGGGGCAGAAGCTCTGTGGGGCGCGCAGGTCTCCCCCCACACACACGCACACACACAGGCACACACATGCGCGTGCACACAGTGGAGCCGACCTGGCGCACTCAACAGCGCTGGCTCTCTCAGGGTCACCCTCCCCGAGACAGCTGGTCCTAGCCCCCTGTCAGGATGAAGGGGCCCCCTGCTCAGAACTCCCAGGCCCTCGGGGCCATCTGGGACAGGAGCAGGGTGCCCAGGCCAGGTGCAGATCATGAGGCTTCCGGGACACACAGGGCATCAGGAGAGCCCTTGGGGGCCTGAGGGGCCGGGGCTGGAGCTGGGAGCAGAGCTGCTCCTAGGGGTGAGGGGGCGGCCAGGCTCAGTCTTCTCAGAATGAGTCCAACAGCATTTCCTCCCCTGGCTCCCGGCCCTCAGCAGAGAGCAGCGCACAGGGACCAACGAGGCAGGGGTCAGAAAGGCGCTAGGCAGTCCACCGCGGCCTCGGGTAGGGGAGGGAGTGGCCGGGGGCCCACAGACCCATAACCGGGCCTTCTCTCAGCCTCGGGCACCCCATGTTTCAGGGGAGTCCGTGCCCGTGCAGACGCCCCCACGGAGCCCCGTGTCAGAGGCCGGGGAGACGGTGTCCCTGGAGCAGTTGCGCAGCGTGCGGCAGCTGGAGGCGCTGGCCCGCGGGCACATCCTGCTGGCCCTGGTGCTGTCGCCGGGTGCCCAGGGCTACAAGGACTGCTGCCTGGCGGCCTATGCCTTCCTCAGGCGCATCTGTCAGGTGAGACCCGGCGCAGGCCCCACTGTGTGGGACAGGCCACAGGCCTGGGGAAACTGCAGCACGTGTTTTAAAGACCTCAGAGCCTCTCCCGTGTTTCCTAAAGACCTTCGAGGTGTGAGCAGTTTCTCTCGAGACATCCAGGTTCTTCCTCTCCACCAAATGATTCCCATCACGTAAAATCGAGAAACTCCCGTCTTGGCCCCTGCGCCCTCCACATTCCCAGCACTTCCCAAGGGAGGGGCCCGCGTCTGCCTCCAGATCAGCTGGTCCTCCCAGACACCGTCCTGGTGCCCTTACCAACCACCCAAAACTGCTCCTGCCCAGCTTACCACACCAAGGCCATAGCAGGCACCTCTGTTGGCATCTAGGGCCCAACAGCCCTGAACTGCCACTGACAGGGCTTCCGGACCCTTCTTCTGTGCCCCACTCCCACCCCCACTCCTCCCGCTCCTCCTCCTACCCCTCCCTGTAGGGCCCACCAGGAGCAGCTGTTGGGAGCCGAGGGTCCTTGGGGACTGCCCTGTGTGCCTGCCTGGCCTCTTGCAGGCCTCAGCCTAGCAGGGCAGTGCCGGGCACAGTAGGCCTTTCTTCTGGGTATGACTTTGCCCAGAGGCCCCACAGGGCATCCCGGGATCAACAGGCCCACTGCCCAGCCATGTGCAGAGCAGGAAAGGTGGGGAGGCCCCCACCGCATCTTCGGCCCCCCACCAGCCTCCATCACTGCCAGACCTGGGGCTGTGGGCGTCCATGCCTTCATTCTTTGTGACTCTTCTAGAATTGTTCAACGTTATTCTCATGTGTTCTTAATCAGAGATCTTGAACTCATTCACCTAAGGAGTGGCGAGTCCTCCCCCAGGGCCAGCCATGCCTGCCCCAGACCCCCACGTGTGCTAGGGCTGCGCCACCTGGTTCTGCCAAGGAGATGTGCCCAGTGTCCTCCCTGCCTGGGAACAGCCCCCACGAGGACCGCTGCAGGGAGGGTGTGGGGTGGCCAGCGGGAAGCCCCAGGGCCCAGGGTATCCTGCAGCATCCCCGGCCGTGGAGCGAGGCAGCCCCCAGTGCCCACGCCCTGGGCCAGCCCCGCTCTCCTGACAGCAGCTGACGGGGGACGCAAGGTTACCAGAGCACTAGAGTCCAGGGACCCCCACAGGTCGGGGCGTCCCTCATCCAGGAGTGGAGGAGCAGGCCGCAGGTCAGTTTTCAGTGCTGTAAATGTGGATTTCATGCTCCCCGGCAGGTTTCCTTGACGACAGCAGGAAAATCAGTGACAGACAGCAGACCCCTGGCAGCAACCAGCTCACATCTGTTATTGCCTAAAAAAGAGAAGGAGAAGGGAAAGGAAGAGAAGGCCAAGGAGGCCAAACAGGTGACACCCAGGTGGCTGCGGTGCAGGGCTGGGCCAGGCCGGGGATGACCTGTGCCTCAGTTTCCCTTCCTGTCAGGGTTCTCGGAGGAGCACCAGACGGCCGTGATTCAGGGCCAGGCCAGGGATAGCCTGTGCCTCAGTCTCCCTGCCTGTCAGGGTTCTCAGATGAGCACCAGGTGGCCATGGTGCAGGGCCGGGCCAGGGATGGCCTGTGCCTCAGTTTCCCCACCTGTCAGGGTTCTCAGAGGAGCCCAGGTTGTCTCAGTGCAGGGGCTGGGCCCAGGCCAGCATCTGTGCCTCAGTTTCTCTCCCCCGTCAGGGTTCTTGGAGGACAATGCAAGGGCATGTCTGTTAAGCACCCTGGCTGGATCCTGGCGGGAATCCTGGGTCTGGAGCTAGCCACATAACACATGCAGTTTGCACAAAGGACGTTGCCCCAGGTCTGCCAGGCTCAGAGGCTGTGGCAGCAGGCATAGCCCAGGGCCTCGGTGTGTAGGGGGCTGGGTTCCAGAACAGTGAGAAGAGTGTTTTTGCATCGTGTGAAACCTTTCTCTTTGTAAGTATCCGCTTCTCCAAGTGCTAGGCAGGTCTGAGAAACCACTTGGCTGCCCAGCCTCCCGGAGCAGGATGCTCACACCTGCACCCTGACACGAGCACTGCTGAGCTCACCAGCCAGCTGCCATTGAGGCAGAGGCTGCAGAGCCTTAGCTCTCGGGGGTCCTGAGCCTGGGCACCCCCAGGCCAACTCTGGCTGTGCACGGGGCAGAAAGCTTTGCATGCACTTCCTGCAAATAGTGTCGGAGGCTGGATCTGGGCACTCGCTGGGGCCTACTGGTGGGAGGACGCCGGCTCCCCAGGCTGTGACCTGCCTGCTGTGCAGTCATGCCGTGGAGGTCTGCTGTTTAAACCATTTCAGGTAAATCCTGCATTCCTGCCCTTCCAGTCTCAAAGCCCAGCTCCTAACAAACCGCTGGAAGATTTGCCCACCAGCATAGAAGAGTGGGCTTGCTTCTCCTGCCCCGACGAAGTGCTGTCTATACTGAAACAGGACAAGAGCGACTCCACTGTGAACGCCGAAAGTATCCAGAAGCCGGTACTTTGACATAAAGACAATGCTCACCTTGGTCACAGCATGGTGTCCCCTTGACCTGTCCCCAAGTCCAGTTTCCACGGTGGGCTGTAGCCAGAAAGAGGAGGATACGACAGTCCCCGCAGCCCCCAGCCCCACACCAGCCTTCCCGACACCACTCTGCCCCCAACTGCTGACACCCATGGAAACCCTTCCTTCTTTCCCCACCCGGGGACGATGCGTGCCTAGCGAGACACGCCGGGACGGTTCCCTGTGTTCGTGGCAACCTCCCACAACTGGGTGGTTAAAAAAGCAGAAATGGGCCGGGCGCGGTGGCTCACACCTGTAATCCCAGCACTTTGGGAGGCCGAGGTGGGCGGATCATAGGGTTGGGAGATCGAGACTGTCCTGGCCGACATGGTGAAACCGCATCTCTACTAAAATACAAAAAATTAGCCGGGCCTGGTGGTTCGCGCCTGTAGTCCCAGCTACTTGGGAGTCTGAAGCAGGGGAATCGCTTGAGGTTGCAGTGAGCCAAGATTGCACCATCACACTCCGCCTGGCAACAGAGCAAGACTCTGTCTCAAAAAAAAAAAAAAAACAGAAATGGACCCCCTCACAGTTCTGGAGGCCCAGAAGCCCCAAATCAGTATCCCTGGGCTCAAACCCAGGTGTGGGGAGGGCTGCACGCCATCCAGGTCCCCAGGGAAGGGGAAGAGTCCCTCTTGCCTCAACAGTGTCGGCCTCTGTAGTCACATGGCCTCCTTTTTGTGCGGAGATCTCCTGCTCCCTCCCACTCCCTCCCACGGGATTACATTTAGGGCACACCTGGACTATCCCAGAGACCCTCACCACCTCGGGGTCCTCACCTTCTCACATCCATATGTCCTTTTTGCCTTTCTGTGGCCATGCACACAGCTCCAGGGACTAGGACTGGGTGTCCGCCAGGTCTCCCTGCCTTGCTGGGGTAGATTCTTTTTGGCGAGCGTCCTTCACCAGGGACTCTGTCTGTGGCTGTGTCCCCATGATTTGTTTTGTGCATTGCTGTGGGTCCACTGCGTGGACAGGCCACTGTCTGTGTTTCATGCATTGCTGTGGGTGACCTATTGTGTGGACAGGCCACGGTCTGTGTGTTTCATGCATTGCTGTGGGTGGCCCATTGCGTGGACAGGCCACGGTCTGTGTGTTTCATGCATTGCTGT